TGGCGGTTGCTTTAACATCGTTGCGTTCAAGACGCGTCTCCGTTGTCTTGATTCCGGCGTTATCCTAATTGCGTTTAACGGGTATCCAGATTCGATGGAACTTTACCGTTGAACGTCGAGAGTGGATCTCCCGTGGGGTTCCCGCGGTCTGGAGGCTTGATCTGTGCTCAGGGCCAGCCGCGAACGGCAACCCCTCGGGTTGTGCCAACTCCAACACCAGTGTCGCAGTACGACAATCGATCTCGGCTGGAACACGTACACCACCGAACGCATTTTCAGCCAGCGTTAATCTTGACTGTCGCATTCGGCGTTTTGCTAAATTTCTCGAGCCGGAAACAAACGCCAAGACCGCGGTACTCGGCCGACTCCGCGCACACGCGTTCCACTCGAATCCGGTCCATCGAGGGAACAATTGAAAAAAATAAAGGAAAGCTTTGTCACGTTAGAATAGAACTTACCGCGCATACGGTAGGACTCCCTAATATTTTTCATAAGAAACTCGCACAACCGGAGGATCTACTTTCCTGTTTTTTCCTGCGCGCGATACACGGAGGACCGTGAATTCCGATAAATGGCTCATTCGTTATTCGTAGTCGTTATCGATTCACCCTTAAACTGGCGGTACTCGAACTGTAGACGGCGGTATACGACCCCTTCCGATAGGCCTCGAGTGTCGTCCGTATCAAACGACGCTGTATCGCGCCGAGAATCTGCGTTATCTCGAAAAAGTCACTGCAGTGGGGGGAGGTAAGGGGACAGACGAGAGAATCTATAATCGTTCCGTCGTTGAAATTTGCAAGTTGAATGTAATCCCCGAAAATTGAAGTTTCGGAAAGTAGGAAACGAAGTTTATTTGAAATATTTCTTTTGAATCAGCGTGGACCGAATAATGTGTCCAGATCTCTGAAACTCGATTTGAGTTTTCGCTACGTATCTAGCTGGATATAGTTGGTTGGCTGGTTAATTAATGTCGAGAGACGCAACGTATATTCGCGAATAAATTTGTTGGGTGTCGCTTCCAGCTTGATTTACAATGAAAAATGAAACGGGGAATAAAGAATGTTCGGGCACAGGGAGGCGTATAAAGAACGGCGAGATAAATCTCTGGAAAAAAAGGTCCGCCGCGGCGTGATATATATTTGAGATTCGAGATGAAACAAACGGGGAAAGTCGACGAGCCCGTTCCATCTCGGATTTGTCAAGCCGGCGGGAGTACGTTGTCCCTCGCGTTCGGCTTTGCGTGGGTCCTTAATTGGCCATATTTTTAACTCCGCTCCGGGCTGGCTCGCAGCGATAACTTTTTCTTTCGTTGGCCGCAGTTGGTACGCGTTTTCTGTTTCCTCGCCGTCGGATTCATTGCCCGGCCTTCCCGGTTTTCTTGGGCGCGATTCATCGACACCGCTTAACGCTCGGAATCGATCGATTTATTCCGGAATTTACTCGACTCGACGAACAACGATGAAAATCGTTAGAGGCATTAAACGAATAGTCTAATAGAATTCCAAGAATGTTGTACCGAAAGTTTGGCGCGTCCGAAAGTTCGAGATGCACAGCTGCGCGTCCCTCGGGTGTCTCCTCCCGCGTCTTATCGTTCTTATGGTTTTATCGGTGACCGGTCGCACGCGTTTATACGTCTCGTTACCTTGTACCCCTCGCGACAGGAATCGGAACAGAACCGACACACCGGCAACGGTGTGTGTCGTATGGACGGCTAGGGGCCTGGGTATGGGATCAGCCGGGGGTGGAAGGGGCTTGGGAAGGGATATTGGTCGAGGCGTAACAGATCAGAGTGAAAGTTGAGGCACGACTTGGACGCGGCCGGGCTCCGTGTATCTCTTTCTTTCCTCGAACGACGAAGAGGAGCCCGGAATCACGAGAGCCGGCCGAACCGCTCCGAAACGATCGTGCGAGCACGTTTCGTGCCTTTGACTTCTCTCGACGCAACGATTACGCGATTATATCACGGCTGGAGATCCCCTCTCCTCCTTGGTCGTATCTCCGGTGTTCCTAACGCGAGCTGTTTGACGACTAATCCGCGTTTCCATCGTCGGATGCAGATCGATCCTCCATTATTCACCTGCCGAATAGTTGCGTAGTTGCGGACATCCTCTGGTTTTCCTTTCGAACTGCTTGTAGTCCCGCGTAGAGGTACACT